AAGACAGCTGCATCCCAACAGTGGACCAATTGAGCCCATTATTTCTCTTCCCAAATCTGCTCATCCTCTAGCATTCCCATCTCAGTTAAGAGTAGAGTCTACCTCCCCAGGCCAGTGTTTCTCAAATGCAGACCCTCCTTTCCAGCCCCAACGCTATGGACCCAGGTTGGGCTCTCCACATCTGTAGGGGAGATTTATTGTTCTGTCCCCTGAGGAGGGACAGCGTCCCTCCCCCTTCTTAGGGAAAACAGCTCCTCCCCCACAGGCCTCTGTGGTTCTAATGGGCCTGCCAATTGCAATGCTGGCCCTCTGGCTTAGGGGTTGACATCCAACCCTTACCGGACCAATCAGAGATCTTCCTTAGAATTTTTCAAATCGGCAGTAAGGGAAAAGCAGCGGAGCCTCTTGAATGAAACTAGAAAATGTAAGCTGGGAACTACTGGGGGCTATGGTTCCAACCTCCTGGGGAAAGCCCCTTTGAAAGACTAACTGGATGAGAGAGGCAGAGGCAAGCGAAACAGGACAATAGGTCTTCAAGTCCAACCAGCCGCATTCCTGCTCTTCACGTTGCTTGGTGTCATGATCCAATAAATTCATCTTTATGCGTAGGCCAGCTCACAGGGGGTTTCTGCCTCCTGGGGAAATTCATATCACTATAAAAAGGCGAGAATGCTGCTACAGCTGGGAGACGCCTAGAACCTGGCACGCACTCAGTCTCTGCCAGGATCTTTTGCCTCCACTATCACCCGTGAGACTCACTCACTAGGTCACCTTCCCTCTCACCGACTGCTCATCAGCGTCCTCCACAGGCAGATGGCTTGGTCACTGAGAACTCCCAAGCATTACATCTAAGGTTTCTTCCACCAGTCTTACCTCTTTTCTTCATGCAAGTTTGAAAAACCCTAGAAAAGAATTCTGATTGTTTTGGTTTGGGGTACGTGCCCATTCCTGGACCAACTAACTGTGGCCATGATTATTACACACAGACAAAGCCACTGTACAGGGACCACTGTGTCCACCACACCACAGTAAACTGAGCATTTCATTCAAAGCCCTTCACAATTTGTTCCCAACATGACTTTTAAGTTAATCTCCCACCACATACCTACATAAAACCCACACTCCAGACACACTGAATTACTCAATATATTCAGAAATATACCACACACCTTCATGACTCCATGCTTCACTCATTTTGTTCCCTCTGCCTCTAGTGAACTCTATCCTTGTCCTCTCAAAATTCTTGTCCTTAAAGGCCCAGCTAAAAATCCACTCTCCATTGCCTTCCTCCTCTCAAAAGTAGTCTCTTTATCCTCACTACTCCCATACACTGTATTGTATTTACTTACCAATAGGTCTTATCTCCCCCACCAGATTTTAAGCTCCTCAGGGTCAGAGACTACAATATATTCATCTTGCTACCCTTCCGTACCTAATGCAATACCTTGTACTTAATCAGGACTCAATAAATGTTTGGAAATGAATGATCCTTCAGAAATGTTGACTACATATCATCAACCATTGGGCACTAAATAACAATGGAACACCTCCTCTACCTGGGAGATTACTTTAGAACCCAACTTCCTGAATAGTACCAGTACATAAGCTTTCTGAAATAGAAAGAACTCACCAAGATACAGTTATATGGCCTTCCCTCTATCTTCCAGAGAGCCAAGTCAGCCTTGAAAAAGGAAATCTCCATTCTTGGTGGCAACACCATTAAATACATTCAAGCAAAGTGTAACATTTTGTGCTGATCCAGATTTTCTTCAACACACTAAAATGGCAAAAGATTTCCATATACTCCCATCACTATCTTCAGGTAGGAAGGAAAAGATACAGAAACAAGCCGCTTGGTTTTCACTCTCACACAGCCCCAGCCTCAACTCTGTTTTCCCAAATCACAATACAGCTTTAGACTGCATGTCAGCACCGCAGACTCAGTGTTCACAGCGTGCCAGACATAGGAAGTAGAAGCAAGTATTCATCAATTTTACAAATCATTTGGCAAAACTAGTGCTCTGAGATTAACTCCACACACCCTCAAGTCTGGTGTTCCATTCCAGTGTAGCTGACCATGTTTGAGAGTAGGACTTCCAGTCCACTTTGAATTGCTGCCAGAATGAGCGAAGTTCAGCCTGCTACAGAAATCGGGAGTCTGGTGTTAGACTTCACTTCTGGTCCTACGGGAATCTCCCGGAGCTACAGAGTACCAATGTAGCTCCAGGCTACAGATATCGTAAAAGGCCACTGCTGCTTCTACATAATCTGTTGAACTTGGTGCTCTACAGGCAAATATACAGAAGACATGCAGAAACCCAACACATGGTTTTCCAAGTCAATGCACTAAATCTGGTTGATAGCCTGAAGACGACTCCTATGGCCTGAACTTGGATAGCCCTATAATATGCCAAACGAATTTTCATTAGGTATCTACGACTGAAAAGTTTCCTACTTTGCACTACCAGGAGGAAGATAATAAACATTTACAAAGATTAATTACGTGCCAGGTGCTTTTTGGCACGTCTTAGCTCATTCAGTCCTCACAACAATCCTGTCCACTTTTTATAGTCAAGTAGATAATACATGGCAGAGCTAGGATTAAACTTGTGTCTAGCTAGCTGATCCACAAATCCTCATCCTTTCTACTAAACCCCACTACTTCCTGTCTACTTTGCTCTGATAAAAAGCTTTAAAAATTCAAGGCACTAAATGCAATGTGGTATCCTGGACTGGATCATGTAAGAAAAGATAGACATTAGGGGAAAAACTAGTGAATCCAAATAAAGTCTAGACTTTAGTTAATAATATTGCACCAATGTTAATTTGTTTGGTCAAATGTATTATTATAATGTAAGATGTTAACATTAGGTGAAACTAGGTAAAGAGTAGGTGGGAACTCTCTGTACTCTTTCTGTGACTTTCCTGTAAGTCAACATTATTCTAAAATAAGAAGTATGTTTTTAAAAATTCAAGGAAGTTATGAATCTCACATATTGTCCTGAAGCTTGATACCTAACTGGATATTTCCAATGAGGTGGAAACACATGGTCTTTTCTAAGATTATGAATTGTAAATCTACCAGAGATGTCAGTGCTGGCTTCAACAGGGTAGTACACAAGCAAGTTAAGTCCAAAATCAAATAACATCTTGGTTGACCAGCAATAAATGCAGCCTGTCCACAAAAAAGAAAACCTCACCAAGCTGATCATGACGGCAGGTGACCTAACCAGCTGCTTCATCACATGCTGAAGTAGGCAGTTGCGGGTAATTGGGGAGCAGAAACAATACAAGGCCACCCTGAAGTAAAGGTTAGGATGATGTCATTAAAATGCTGGATTTTGAGAAAGAGCACCAGCAGGCGGACCCAAATGACCCACAGTAATCAGAAAAGCACAGGGTGCCGGCCCGGACCCGGTGGCACAAGCGGTTAAGATCGCGTGCTCCGCTGTGGCGGCCCCAGGTTCGCTGGTTCGGATCCCAGGCGCACACCGAGGCACTGCTTGTTTAAGCCATGCTGTGGTGGTGTCCCATATAAAGTGGAAGAAGATGGGCACGGATGTTAGCCCAGGGCCAGTCTTCCTCAGCAAAAAAAGAGGAGGATTGGCAGATGTTAGCATAGGGCTGATCTCCTCACCAAAAAAAAAAAAAAAAAAGTTTTGGGCCAGCCCCGTGGCTTAGCAGCTAAGCGCGGGCGCACCGCTACTGGCGGCCCGGGTTCGGATCCCGGGTGCACACGGAGGCACCGCTTCTCCGGCCATGCTGTGGCCGCGTCCCACATACAGCAACTAGAAGGATGTGCAACTATGACATACAACTATCTACTGGGGCTTTGGGGAAAAAAAAGGAGAAGGATTGGCAATAGATGTTAGCTCAGAGCTGGTCTTCCTCAGCAAAAAGAGGAGGATTAGCACGGATGTTAGCTCAGGGCTGATCTTCCTCACAAAAAAAAAGAAATTAAAAAAAAAAAGAAAAGCACAGATGGGTTCATTCTTTTTCGAGTTAAGACCTCATGCAAACCATGAAGGAAAGACAAAACTGCAAACAGCAGCAGACTCCACCCCCAGGCACTTCTTAAACCAAAGGGCAGTCTTCCCTCCGTCTATGCTGTGGAAAGGGCTGCTGATCCCGCATTGAACTCCTCCAAGACACTTGCACATGGAGATGGTGTTTCTACCAGGAACATCATCTCAAAAGAACTATTCATATACTTACATAAAAAATGTCCAGAAAGACTTAAATTTCCATACTGTTATTATAATCTAAAGCTTAGATCTATTCCACTCTACTCATCCAGGATAAACATGGTTAAATATTTTGTATGCTTAGTCGCATTATGTTCAACTTAGGCTGCCAGCCCTCCTGGTGACTTCAGGTTAAGCATATTTTTTGAAGGCTTCTTGTGTTTGTCTTCTCAGTGAGCTATTTATACCGCTCATTTTAAGGTTTTCAAGCATTTTTCTCCCTTTGGAATTTTAATTTACTGTAAATGCTTCCCCCTTAGAACATTCCCTAGTGCCATTCAACTCTTGACTCTTTTGAATACAAAATCCTTGATAAAGACATGAGAAAGAGGGGTAAAGGGAAGTAGGGAGATACTAGAGAACCTTCTGAATTGTCCTCTTTGAAATTTTGTCATCTGGACGCTGAGGGTGGATTCTTTGTTAAAAGTTTAGCATCCAGATCTTAAGGCCACACAATTAATATTCCCTCTGGAATGTACGGACTCTCTTTGAAAGAGTCTGTTGTCCAGCTTTCAGGCCACATTAGGTAATTTCCCGCCCAGGAGCAAGGCCTGAAAAGAATGTCGGTGTTTTCCTTCAGGTATAGGTGCCTGGGGGTCAGGGGGAGAGAGAAAGGCAAAGGGTGGAGTGAGAGGCGGGTGATCGACAGGGAAAGAAACGGTGTCTCCTCCTCCCTCTGAACGCGAAATAGCCAATGAGGTGGCGCGGCCGGGCCGGCCGGGCCGCCAGTGCCATATAGTATGCAGCAACCCGAGGAGTCACGTTGGGGGAACGGCAGAAAGCAGCTATCCTTTTACACTACTTTGCTCTAGCAGCTATCTTAATGGTGACTGCGTGGCCGGGGGGAAACCTGATCGGCCAGATCCAGCCGAAACCGGGAGGGAGGGAGTGGGCTTTCCGGAGGGAGGGAGGGGGAGGGAGACGAAGAAGGAGGAGTAACAGAGGGGGAAAGAAAGAGGAAAAGTGCGAGGGAGTGAGGGAGGGAGGAAAATAAACAACAAAAAATGTCCTCTTCCTCCCCCACCGGGCAGATTGCAAGTACGGCGGACATCAAGCAGGAGAATGGGATGGAAAGCGCCTCGGAAGGGCAGGAGGCGCCCCGAGAAGTGGCCGGGGGCGCGGCGGCGGGGCTGAGCCCCCCGGCTCCAGCCCCTTTCCCCCTGGAGCCGGGGGACGCCGCGGCCGCCGCCGCCAGGTTGAGCGGAGAGGAAGGGGTGGCGGCGGCGGCCGGAGCGACGGCGGATCAGGTACAACTCCACTCGGAACTTCTGGGCAGGCACCACCACGCCGCGGCCGCCGCCGCCGCGCAGACCCCACTGGCCTTCTCGCCCGACCATGTCGCCTGCGTGTGCGAGGCGCTGCAGCAGGGGGGCAACCTGGACCGCCTGGCCCGGTTCCTGTGGTCCCTGCCCCAGAGCGACCTGCTACGTGGCAACGAGAGCCTGCTGAAGGCGCGGGCGCTGGTGGCCTTCCACCAGGGCATCTACCCCGAGCTCTACAGCATCCTCGAGAGCCACAGCTTCGAGTCGGCCAACCACCCGCTGCTGCAGCAGCTCTGGTACAAGGCGCGCTACACCGAGGCCGAGCGAGCCCGCGGCCGGCCGCTGGGCGCCGTGGACAAGTACCGGCTGCGCAGGAAATTCCCCCTGCCCCGCACCATCTGGGACGGCGAGGAGACGGTGTATTGTTTCAAGGAGAAGTCGCGCAACGCGCTCAAGGAGCTCTACAAGCAGAATCGCTACCCTTCGCCCGCCGAGAAGCGGCACCTGGCCAAGATCACCGGCCTCTCCCTCACCCAGGTCAGCAACTGGTTCAAGAACCGCCGGCAGCGCGATCGGAACCCCTCGGAGACCCAGTCCAAAAGGTGAGCGCCAACTTTCCTCCTCCTCCCCCTTCCTCTCCTCCACCCCCTTCCCCGCTTTCTTTTCCTCCAAGTGCTCGCAAACATGGCGCTTACCTTCCCCACCAGCCTGGTCCGGCTGCCCACCTCTCCCCGCCCCCCACCTCTCTCCCCGACCGGGGGAGGGGGGGGCAGCAGTGGCGAGGGGCGGGGGAGCCTCCCTCCTTACCCTCCCCCTCTCCCCCCCAGAAGTTTCTGGTCGCCCGCCCAGGTCTCAGTCCCCGCCTCCACCTCGGCTGGTCACTGCTGCCCGGTTTCCCACCCCCATCCCGCTGGCTTTGAAGTTGCCACTCTCTCCTGGGTTCTGGCGGGGCGAAGGAGCGAGTGTAGGCTCCGGAAAAGCCGCTCTTGCTGCTGCCCGAGGCCCGCGGAGGTTGGCAGCGCCGGCCGGGGTCTGCACCTCCGCGCGCTCTGCACCTCCGCGGGGTCCCACCGGCCCGGCGCGCACGCGCTCCCCGACCCCAGGGTTCGGCTGCCCCCCGGGCCCGCGCTCCAGGTCGCCGTGGCCTCTGGAGGGAGGAGAGTGTTGGTGGGGGCGGGCAGCGCAGAAGGGGGTCTGCGGACGTCGAGGTTTTATATGACAGAGTTAATCATTCACCCTGCCCTCTGTGCTTCCCTGCGCGGCCGCGGCAACGTGGGCTGTTGGTGCGGCTCGGCTCTGCCGTGTTTTGAAACCTGATTCTGAACTCCTTCGGATCAGATTTCAGAGCGGCCAGGGTAGCGGGGCTGGAGGGCTGCTTCCTCGGCCCCGGACACTGCGTGGCTTCCTCCTGGTGGTGGTGGTGGGGGGGCAGACTGGCAGAAGGCGCACAGCGGGAAAGGAGTGGTGGCGCTATCAACTCCGCACCTCCTGGAGCGCCCACCCTGGCGGGTTTGAACTTTTTGACTGGCAGGTTTATTTCCCCAATTGGTAGAAAATATCGGGTTTTTCTGCCTCTCTTGTGCGTCCTCCCGAGTCAGACACCTGGGGCGTGTGTGTCTGTGTATTGTTAGGCGAAGTAAAGTAAGGATAAGGTCGCCTAAAGAGATGGTGTCTCCGGCCCCGCGGGGATAGGAGAGAAAGAATCCAAAAGCAGCTCGAAGGTTCTACTCGGGGAAGGAATCTGGGAGCCGGGGAGCCCGCCCGGGCCGGTGAAGGTGATCGCCGGGCGCACTCCAGAGCCCGCCGTGGCCCGCTCCTGCCGCTCCTGCCCCTGCGCTCCTGCCGGGGCCCGACGGCTGCGGCCCTCCTCGCCCAGGGCAGGGAGGGAAGCGCTGTGCCGGAGCCGAGCCGCACGGTAACCAAAACAGAACGCGCGCCGCGACCTTCCTGCACCCTCCCGCAGACTTGCGGGAAGACCCAGAGGGGGCGCATTGGTAACGCCACGCCACCTGCCCCGGCGCCCGCTTGTGGCCACTGATCCCGTCAGCTCGGAGCCGCGACGGAATCCGCGGGGCCGGGGGCAGAGGGTGGGGAGCGGTCGCAGCGCACAGGCCAACTGCCCTGCAGCCTCCGCTCCCCAGCCGGGCGCGTGCCCCGGGTCTCCCTCGCCACACTCTGCTTGCTTCTCCCCCCTCAACTCCACACCCCCGCCCCCAGCCCAGTTGTCTGGTTTAGGCCCCTCTCCGGATCTACCTCCCACCCGCACCCCCGGTGAGTCACCCTCGCAGACGGCGACGGCGGCTCAGCCTCAGCTCGTAAATCAAAGTGCTTTCTGCGCTCCTGGCCCTGCAGCCCAAAGCCCGGGTAATCCCCTCCCCTCGGCATGAAAGCAGACCGACCGCCGGGCACTGCAGGGATGTCGGGTCCTCTGCTGGGCCAAGTCCCGCCGCACTTCCAAACTGCCTCTGTCCTACTCCCCCTCTCTCCCCCGCCCAGCCGCAGACCAAATGGGAAACCCCCAGCACACTCCTCCCGGGATGTGGTATTTCCCCCTAAGTCCGGGAGCTGAGGAACACAGTCCAACAGAAGGACTGAGGGTGCTGGGGAAGGGGTCTGATAGTTACAAGACCGCTGTGACCCACACCCTTTTCCTCCCACCTCACCAGGGCACTGGATGATGTATGTTAAATAGGCCCCTATGGCTTCCTTTGGATTCAAAGGCGACTGCTCATAACGGTTCTTGGGTTGAAAGTGCCTTTCCTACAACAAGGACAGCCACTTTGTCGAATGAGAGAGTTGTCAGGCTGGTGGAGTAGAAGGTTGGGAGCAGGTGAGAAAATGGTCTCTTAACTAACTGGCAAACAAAACTGAACACGTCCCACGTCCTGCTCTATGGCAGTTTCGTTTACCTCCAAAATCACACTAATCTGAATTGGTTTGAGGGGAGGAGACGGAGTTCCCCAACAGGAAAGACCGACCACCTCAGTTAATGAGTTTTTTCTATGGTATAGGTAGCAGCATATTTAACAGTAAGGAAATAACTTCAAAGTTGTAAAGCGTATATACAATTCTCCTGTGAATCGTATTAGCTGAATTTACATCTTCCAGATCTCTGGACTTGCCCTGAGTTTATTAGTAGTAAAAATGGTTGGGGTATGAGAGTTCATCTTCCCAGATTCTCTGGTCAGAATCTGCGGAAGGGCCTCATAGCTTAAATAGGACTAAAAGACTTCCTAGGGTGCTTTCCTTAGATACTGCCTTTAATGGGGTTAGAGGCTGGTTTTCCAAACAAATGGCAATATGTAGAATGTCATCCCCCTGACCTCCTGTCTTGATTTCCCCTCTGTACAGTGAGTCAGATGGCAATCCTAGCACTGAAGATGAATCCAGCAAGGGCCATGAGGATTTGTCTCCTCATCCACTCTCCAGTTCTTCCGATGGTGTCACCAGCCTCAGCCTTTCCAGTCACATGGAGCCAGTATATATGCAACAAATTGGAAATACTAAGATATCATTAAGCTCTTCTGGAGTTTTGTTGAATGGAAGCTTGGTACCTGCAAGTACTTCGCCTGTCTTCCTTAATGGTAATTCTTTCATTCAGGGACCCAATGGAGTTATCCTTAATGGATTAAATGTGGGAAATACACAGACAGTGTCATTGAACCCACCAAAAATGGCATCAAACATAGTGAGCAATGGTATATCCATGACTGACATACTGGGGTCTACCTCCCAGGATGTGAAGGAGTTCAAAGTCCTCCAGAGTTCTTCAGCTAACTCAGCAGCCACCACCTCCTACAGCCCCAGTGTCCCTGTGTCCTTCCCGGGGCTGATACCCAGCACTGAGGTGAAAAGAGAAGGCATTCAAACAGTGGCTTCCCAGGACGGAGGCTCTGTAGTGACTTTTACTACACCAGTGCAAATTAACCAGTATGGCATTGTCCAGATCCCCAATTCCGGAGCAAACAGCCAGTTCCTTAATGGGGGCATTGGATTCTCTCCACTGCAGCTGCCTCCTGTTTCAGTGGCAGCTTCACAAGGTAAAGTCTCATTTAGTACCATAATGCACCAGTGAATGTTTCAACCAGCTGCTGTAAATGACGCATTTGGTGAACACTATAGATAGAAGTTACTGTTCAGGGACCTTATTGGCTGCCACAGCTGCAGAATAGCCTTGATTTGTTTCTCCTTCTTCACAACACCCATGTCATATCCACCTTGCTTGGTTCCCTGGCATCATAGGGATGGGCTTTCATTTTCCTAACAACTGAATGGAAAAATACAGTTCATAGCAAGTCTTGCCAGTTCTACAATTACAGAAATATGATGTCAATTGGTGCTTACAAAGTAACCCATTGCTTGACATTTTAAGATTAAAAATTAATAATATTGCTAAGAACACAAAATTAGTCGAGCAGTGTGTACAAAATGTGTACACTTTACCTAAGCATTATTTATTTGACCAAAAAGTGTTTTAGAAGAGCAGGCTACATGGATGTTAGCTCAGGGCTGATCTTCCTCACAAAAAAAAAAAGAAGAAGAAGAAGAGCAGGCTAAAAAGCTGGATCATTGTGTTTGATTCATGTTCCTTCTATAATTAAGACCTGAAGGAAAACCAGAGGAATATGTGATTAGGTGTCTATTGCTCTGCGTGTATGCTGGTCCCCATATGGGTGGGTTTATTTATAAAGGCAACTGTAAGCTTTATTTTTGTGGCTTTACTAAAGGCAGTCTACTCAAGAAAGCACTAATCTGAAATTCGGGAAACCTGACCCTGATAATGCCAGTTCTTCACTGACTCGAAGCAAGTCTGGATGGCTCTCTGTCATTTTCTCCATATAGAAACAGGAATGGGTAGAATGGCAGTGGAGGTCGCATAGCCCCCTGAATTCAGGAGTGGGAGATGTTAATGCATGTTTGCCTTCCTCTAAGCAAATCTGAGTCTTAGATTTTTACCAAAACAAAATAAGTAATTGTTTGCCTTAAAGATCAGCTTCCTGTAAAATGGTTTTATCAAAAGAAAAAAAAATCAGTTTATGCACAGCTCTTTTGTGTTCGTGACTATGGTTGGCTTCAGCTTATTTGAGGCATTGATGGAAAAATTGTTGTGGAGTAAATTTCATTCTGTACATTTGTTTCTCTTTAGGTAAAATGGTAGTAAAGCACAAATAGTCCTGCAGCATACTATTTATTTCTTCCTTGTTTCAGGCTATGGAAAAGATTAAGCTAAGTCACTATCCAACATAGGTCAAAAATATGAAAACCACAGGGAAAGCCAAAGTACTTAGTTTTATAATAATTTAATGTGGATCTAACCCCTTTTCTCTCTTTAGGAAATTTCCAAACATTTTCCAAATATTTTAAAGACAACACATTTGAATAAAAAGCCTGATACGTACATTGGGGGAGGAGAAAAGCAGAAATATTTTTCTCACATGTAAACTAGAAAAGTTCCACCATAGAAAATTATTACAAACTAATAGCTAATTATAAAAACGAGACATTTAATATAAATAAGACTAGCATTTTTAGTTAAAATAGCTAAGATCAAATGACAGAGCTGTCAATCCTTAGACTGTCTGGGTGAGTTGAAGGCATAAGTTTAACCAGATGGGTCCAGGAAGCAACATTCCTTTATAGTAATTGTATGTTGCAGTTCTCAATAAAGCATTTGGGGATTCAGCCTTTCTCAAAAACAGATACCCAGCCTTTTTAAAAAATGTCTAGACAAAGTAGATTATCTTTCTATAGTTGGGATTTACATGGAAAAGCAGAATCTCTACATCTTTTACTCACTTTACAATCTGAGAAAATAAGGGTTTTTTTTCTTACCATTATTACAAAGTTATACGTTGCACCTATATCATTTTTCAATTGGATTTTTTTTAACTGATTTTGAAATTGGATTTTTTAACTCAATTTATAATTCAATTGCAGTTATACTTAAATATCATAGTTTTAGATCACATCTGCTTTTCCCTCTTCATGTATATATGTTATAATTTCTATACATTCAGAAATATTTTATTTATATTTAATAGCAATTGGGGAAAATATCACATCTATTGTGTTATTTATGGCTCTATCAAAAAATAGCCAATCATTTTGTTCACATATACTTTGGCAAACAGTTTCACAAACACATATACACAACAAAATAAACATCTATTTCAAATGTTTTTTGCTACAGTTTAGCAGCCAGCAGGAATTTTAAAGCATACCTAAGTTGAAGTCACACATTTTCAAATAAAAGCCTTTTTCTTGTATTTGACCTGGAACAAACATTTATGTTAGAGGAGGGTCCAAACATACATAGAAATGTTTTTCTTAACACCAGGAGTTCCATGATGAGTACTTTCTAGTGAGTAAATTTTTTTATAGGTCAAATATAGTGTTTTCATTTTCTTTTTTTTTTTTTTTCCATTTAAAGACATTCCTGTGCATTTATGGTGCTTCAAAATGTTTGGAAGACATATAAACAGCACTGTGACATTTATTTATCAATATAGGTAGTAATATAATATAATATATATAATATATATATAATATAATAATTATTCTAATAATTCAAGAACGGAAATGTTTTAGGTGAATTACCTTTAACCTTGGGCTGTTTTCTCAAAATAATAAAGAGTTTACTGGACAGCTAATTCAAGATCAGGGAATTATTCTGTCACAAAACTCCCCCGAGTCCATCTTTCCTTTAATGGCAAGATAATTGCCATCATTTCACTGTGCCTGTGTAAAGACTCAGAAAGAAAAGGGTTTTATTTAATGGTGGGAGTGGGGGGAGGGTCTAGTTTGTCTACATTGTCTGAGTTAACGTGATTTGAATATCTCAGCTTCCTACTTATGTTTCTTTTTCTACTTCTGGTCTCTACAGACCATTATAATGAGAGCCTCAAAAGATACAGACCTTTTAGAGAAGCATTAGCTCTGGTTCTTTGTGTTAATCTCTATTTTAAAAAGCACATTTCGTTATTATTAATTCTTCCTATCACTACACTGAAAATTCAGAACTGGCACAACAAAAGAAAAAAAAACATCCTGAATGTTTTGTTGACTTGACATTACTTTGTGGTTAGTTTGGTGAAAGTTTACAACTTGTCTGTACAGGTTTACATGGTTAAGTTTAAGCCCCAGGGTAACTCATTTTATGTGGTATTTTCTACATTTCCATTTATATTTTATGTCAGTTACTGAGCTTGCCCTGAACAAAGGCATTCTGTGTTGCATTTGGGTATTCTAGTTCTAACTGGCAGAGCTAGCAGTAACTATCAACTAATTGAGAGATATCAAGTCAGTAATAATAAACTAGAAACGACTGAAATTAGAACTTGGAAAAGATTTTTTTTTCGCACTTGGTTTCTAAATCAGTAGTTCTAACTCCTCCTTGGTCATCAGAATTACTCGAGGAGTTAAAAATACACCTGTTCTAGGACTTACGAGTCAGGTTCTCAGGAGTGGAGCCTGGGAATCTGTAGTTTTAAGTGCTCAAGGTTAAGATTCTGCTGAACCTGAGAAAAATCACGTGTGCAAAAAAGTTGCTTTTTTCCTTTCCTTATCAATTCTATCAATGATAATCTGTACTTTATTTTTTGTAGGTAATATTTCAGTAAGTTCAAGCACTTCAGATGGGAGCACATTTACAAGTGAGTCCACCACAGTCCAGCAAGGAAAGGTTTTCTTGAGCTCTCTTGCTCCCAGTGCGGTGGTATACACTGTTCCTAATTCAGGCCAGACTATAGGATCTGTTAAACAAGAGGGCTTGGAGAGGAGCCTCATATTTTCTCAGTTGATGCCTGTCAATCAGAACACACAAGTAAGTGCAAACCTGTCTCCTGAAAATATCTCGGGGAGTGGCCTCCATCCGCTGGCCTCCTCGTTAGTTAATGTATCCCCGTCTCACAATTTTTCCCTGACTCCCCCTACCCTACTGAATCCCACCGAGCTAAACCCTGACATTGCTGATAGCCAGCCAATGTCTGCACCTGTGGCAAGCAAATCTACTGTGACATCTGTCAGCAACGCTAACTATACAACTCTTCAGAACTGTCCCCTTATTACCGGTCAAGAGCTATTGTCAGTCCCCATGGCCCAGGCTGCCCTTGGGGAAATCGTTCCTACAGCTGAAGACCAGGTGGGTCACCCCTCCCCAGCAGTACACCAGGATTTTGTCAGAGAACATCGTTTGGTTCTGCAATCAGTAGCTAACATAAAAGAGAATTTCTTAACAAATTCTGACAGCAAAGCAGCGAGCAATTTAATGATGCTGGACTCCAAATCCAAGTATGTCCTAGAGGGCGTGGTCGAGACTGCCTGTGAAGACCTGGAAACAGACAAAAAAGAGCTTGCCAAGCTCCAAACTGTCCAACTGGATGAAGATATGCAAGACTTATAAACTTTATTTCCCTTTTTTTTTTTTCTGGCATCAACGGGCAAATCTTTTTATGAAGCCCTGAGGACATAGAGCATTTTCCCATTTAAAGGGAAACACTAGTTTTGCAAGTAAATGCATCAAGAGACTTCGGATTGATCTGCATGAAGATCACAGTTAAATATACAGGGGTAGAACTGCATTACTGCAGCCTTTTTGTTCACGTATGTTCTCTTTTAAATAGATGGAGACAAAGGAACAAGATGAAATATATCAAGTCAAAGTGTATCGTTTGGTTCACTTACTATGATTCTAAGGTCAAATGGAACTTGCTAAATAGTTTTTTAAGTTAAAAATGTATACACCTAACAAAATTAAAAATCGCTACAGAGCATTAGAAACAATACAATTCTTTTTGTTTACTTTTACTCCGTGGGCATTGATAAGGTTAAGAAGCATAAATGGTACTCCACACTATTCTAAGGGTATATTTTTTTGAATATATGCATTTCTGTTTTTAAGCATTTTTGTGAAAGTCTTAGTTAGTCTCTACACATTTCCAAATGTGATTGCTTCTAGTTCAGTGTGGCTGAGAAAGTTTGCAACTCCACTAAAAACTCTGAAACAAACTTCAGTATGAGTGTAAATACATTAGTTCTATAACCAAGGATTTGAGTAATTACAGTGAATTTTATTTATGCTATATATGTTTCTCATACTTCAGACACTATGAACTGAAAAGAAAAATGTCTTCTTACTGTTTAATTTATTTTTATTGTTTGAACAGGAAGTGAACATAGTTATTTCCAACAAAGCGTTACTTTTTGTAGCATTTTAAAAGTGATGATTTTTATCAGGAGTCTATTAAGGTCAATATTAATAACACTGAAACAGGAAATCTAACTCCCAATATTGGAATTTCGGTACTTTTTTTTCACATCTTTGCTCTTTATTTGGCAACTCTCTGATTCATTTAAATGTGTTTTCTATAGAATTCTATGTGCCTTTTTACCTTGTGGCCTTTTTATTATTCTTACTAAGGTACAGAAGTGTCAACAGAAGCACTGATGGCTCTTTTTCACTATCTAACAGGGTTAATTTCACCACAGAATTGCTTTAAATCCAAAGAACTTAAGTTTCACTTATATTATTATGTATAATGTTTATGATGCAAATGGATGAACAACTAATTATTGTTGATGCTTTTCATTACAATGAAAATAACAATTATAGACTACCATGTAAAATCAATTCTGTAAGCTGTGAAAACAACCATTTTAAAGTAAGGACAGCATATGTAAATTCTGTTGAGCAGAATTCTGTCCTGTTGAAACTTAGTTCTAAATGTTTTGAATCAGTTGTTACATTATGACATATGACTGTTTGCACTATATTATCATGTCTTCTTTAAAAGTAAATTTTTGGGTTTCTGTAAGAAGCTTGTTTGATAATGTTGTGAGCTGTGGTTATAGTTTTTATCAGGACTTTGAACACAAGATGTAATAATGCAAATACACTTACATAGTGAGTAAACTCTCTGGTATCTGAAAAGAAGAAAAGTGAGAGAATGATCTCTTCAGAGATGACTTAAAGTTGTTGAACATAAAGATGTTACCACATCTTGCTTTCTTTAAGATCAGAACAAAGGGTCCACCCCAGATCGCTGCATGCCCGTCGCTGAGCATGTTGAATAAGGGCCATAGAGGATTTAACTTTTGTTGTTATTACAGATGGAACTTGCAGGCATAGATGAAGAGCCCTGTGAAGAATTCCTCTCCCATCATTTTGATAAAGAACTTAGTGCCATTTTCCATGGAATTAGTGAATGTTCCTAAACTGCTGAAACTACATGTTTTTTGTTCTGTTTTTTACAAAATCAGGTGTTTTATTAGAGTTCTCTTTCACTCCAACACTACTTATACAGCTTGTTTTTTTCTTTGGGTGTATGCTGATCATGTTACTGAGATTAATTACATGGTTCTATAGGGTAGCTTACATGAAAATGATGTTTTCCACTTGATTGCTACAAATATCAATCGTTTGTTAATTATTTAAAAATACCCATCCAATAAGTGAGATGGGACGGTTTATAAAGTTTATATATAACTGGAGAAGTTTTATATGTCTTCCAAAAACGTAAGCCTCTCTTTTATTCACAGTTCTTCCTCTTTTCTCCCTTAAGAAAAAGAAAAGATAGCACAAAACTTAAGACTTACCTAGGAAATCCATTCGTAGTCCCAACATGATGTAATTATACCCCTGCAATTACTCCAGGTAGCTATATAATATACCAGGTAAGAATCAATGCACATTATACAGAACTTATTGTTCTTTTCTATTCTTTCAGTAAAATAGGGCCAGTTGGTATGTAGTCCATATATATGTGAATGAAATAAGATAAACCCCATGATCTCCTTGCACAGAATTGCAAATATGTTTTGCAATACCAAGGGCCAGACTCAGAACCCTTGGAGTTCATGTGGCAGAATTTCTCTCTTACATAAACCAATGCTTGAAGATGCTGCATATGACCCTCTAATGATCCCCAAAGAGGAATGAGAATAGGGGTAAATAACTCCCTGCGAACCCCAACCCCTGCTGCTGGCTGTGGGATTTTTGGTGTAAGCCTATCTATGCACTCTGTCAGCCAGAATTTGGCATTTAGCTCTTGGTGACAGCTAGTAAAAGACAGTCTCGTTTAAAGAGAAGGTGCATTTGTTCCTCAGTCAAGCAAGAGCACCTGTGTTGTACTGCTTTATAGCTCATGTATATTTATAGTAATGAAAAGACTGACTTGTACACACATTTCAGTGCCTTTCCTGTGTTATGAAAGGCAGGTAGACGTTATAGTCATAGATGAAAACCCATAGTTAAATTGCACACTGACCTTAAAACTCTCTGTATATGCCCTTGCATCTTGCATGTTAAAAGTTGGATTATTGGGTGTGTGTTGCAGCCTGTCCTGCTACATGTTAGACAAGTGTGCATTAGTACATAGCCAGAAGTTCTTCATTCTTTAAAATGTTTTTGACAGATCATCTCATCATAAATAATTCAGGAAAACTGGGGGGAAAAGAAATACATTTTACAAAAGATGTTTCAAAGTCTTCCTAGAACTTAGATGATAGAGCCTAACAGTTATTTTGTATCTAATCGATACATTTCATGTTAATTTAATATTACCACCATACATTTTATTAATCAAAATTGTATAGCATATGACTCGTTTGGCTTTCAGGGTTCTCAAAAAAATTTTATTCTTTTGTTGCATGTACTGTATGTTTAGAGGCAACCAGTTATACACTCGATATGGTTTTACTGTGCCTTACACAAAGAGAAAATAGACAGAATGTATATCACGGGGTGGGGTAACAGAGTCTTTACTGCACTGTTAGGTGATGGCACACAGAGCATGTCCCAGAACATTTCTGTGCTGAATTACCCAACCAAAGAGATCTCAAGTATGTATGTTGTACTGTAATAGGGGTTTATGCCTGGACAATTAAGTGTTTTATTTGTTTTCTGAAATGATGTGAACTTATTTTTCTAAACACTATGCTAAATAAACTTTATATTTATACATAACTTGTATTAAAAACATTATTTATCCCTGGAAAAGCGGAGAAGAGTAGGGAAAATGAAAAACAAAAACCCACGCGAACATTTCCTAGGCTGGCAAATATAAGGACAATAGGAGTTGTTTTGGAAAAATAATTTCTGTTGGTCTTTGTACAAAATTATGCAAGTTTGTACTGCAAAGTTATGTGTAAAGCATACTCAGAGCTAAGTGATTAGATTTCATCCTTAAAGGAAAGAAATGTGTCTTATTCATTTAGGTGTCCCAAAATCTGAATCTAGTACTGCATAAGGTTTAATAGAATTAAAGTGAAATATCCAAAGACCCTTCCATTCCCAACTTTATGGAAAGAGCTCAGTATACCCCATCTTTAAAGCACTCCCATTAGCCAAAGTCTCGTTACACCACACTTGGGTCCGCCAGTGGTTTGACTTAGAGTTATGGACGGAGCTGCATTGCTGAGTGTAGAAGACCTGGCCTTGGGACAGTTTGGTCCTAACTTTAAAATTACATGACATCTGAATTTGTGCACCTCCCACGCAAAATGAAAAGGAGATTAGATAAAGTAGATCAGGATCAACTGTATAATTCTATTACAAAACAAGTTAAAGCCATCAAATTAATTTCAGATATGATGTCTAGACTTTTTATATTCTTGTCATTCATTTCATTTATTTAGCAATTTTCTGTGTAGTTAAACCAGTGAAAGTGAACAGTGTCTCAGTAAGTGAGTATAGGGTCAGAGTATCATGGAGTGATTACATTTTATAACATCTTAGCCAAACAAATATTTTAAAACATTTGACAAGGTCACTGACAGACTTCAAACATTTTTGTGGCTCCTCGGAAACGCAAATTAAATAAAACCCCTCAATGGGAATGCAAGACCTTCAGCTATATGATTCCCTCCCACTTTTCCAGTTTCTCTGAAGAAATAATAAATGTGGAAATTTGTCTTTGCACATCACATTTCCGATACAATAGATAGTAAATAAATAAACGATAGATTCAGATAATGGTCAGTGCTATAAAGTCAATAACAGGATAATGGGATTGAGAATGGGGAGTGCTAGAGGTGGGGACATACATTAGACTGGTCAAAGAAGGTCTCTGAGGAAGTAACATTTCAGCAGAGGGGCTTGAATGACGAGAGGGAGCCAGCCAAGGAGACCTAGAAAAGAGCATTCTAGACAGGGAACAGCAGGTTCCCGAGGGAGGAGCAGAGTGGCTGGATCCGGGGGTCATGTGATAGGAGATCCTGTCAGAGAGAGGCAGGGACCAGAGCACAGGTAAAGCTTTGTTGGCCTCTGCCAAAGAGTTTGGATTTGAATCGGAGAAACAAAGAAGGATATAACATTATTTACAGTTTAAAATATCACCGTGCCTATTCTTTGGAGAATGGTGTTGTAGGAGGCAAGAGTGAGGGCAGGAATTAGGAAACTACATCATGTTGTCCTAAGCTGTTGGGCAGGAAATACTTCAGGAGCTCTTGAAGCATGCATGGCAGTTTGTCCCCAGATGTCTCCAAAATTTCGAGCTCTCCAAGCCTTCTGTCTGCTCTGCCTCCTGCTGTTAGTCAAAGCTGCCAGCTTCCTGCTGTGATTGTCCCAGCCTGAACCTGTGCCCTGAACTCCAGGCTGGTAGATCCAGTTCCCTAATGGATATTTTCAGAATGTCCCAGTCACCTATGACTCTGTATATGAAAATTTAAACTATTGGCTTCGCCCTAAGCCTATTCCCCAATCTGTGTTCCTCATTTTAGTAGCATCCATTTACCCATTGGCAAAATAAAAAATCTGGGCTTCCCTCTGGAGTCGTCTCTCTCTTTCTTTCCACCTCCTCCACCGGATCACTATGTCTATCCATGTCTGCTCTTTTACTGTCTCTTGAATCAGTTCCTTCCCCTCCATTTTTAGGGTTACTGCTATAGTTGAGGCAGTTATCATTTCTCGACTGAATTATTGCAACCGTCTCCTACCTGCTCTCCCAGTGTCTGGTCCTTATTACAACTATATTCAGATGGAACTTTCAGAATTCAAGACTTATCCCAGCCTTGCTTTCCATTTTAGAATCTACAGTGGCTCTCCATTGCCTATGAAATACCATTTAAACTCCTTAACATACAAAGCCCCCAAGACCCAGGCCCTACCTCTCCGTCTCGTCACGTCCCTAGCCACATGAAACTGTTCTCAAAAGGGGCTAGGTTCCTTCTTACCTACCCAGTCTCCACAACTCACTAGATGTCACATGCTCCAGGAAGCTCTCTCACCCTCATCATTAATCACTGTAATTATGTTTCTGCCTCCCTAACATCCCTTTCATCTTTGTTTCTCCGGCGTTTAGTATGCTAGAGCATAGTAAGCACTTAAAAATTACTTGTTGAGTGAATAGTGACTCTACCAGTCATCCATCCCTTTAAGTCATTTCACTTGCTATGAATTAGGGAACTTCACAGCTAAACTGGTTAAAGTTATTATCCCTATTTAGAGCACAAAAATAAACCAATACATTTGTGGTAGGGTCTGAGTGGTTTTTTGAATCTTCTAGCGTTAGTGGATGGTCTTTATGGTAATTATTTTCCTTACTGCTTGAAGGTTTCTTCCACTTACCTCCAAATAGAGTCTGGGTTCCACATGATAGAGGTTGGCTAAAGTTTGACAGACAAATGGAGCATTAGCAAAAATGTACTCACTAAGCCTTTTTAGATCAATGTTTCAAAATAGTGGTGATGTATAGGAAAGCTATTTCTGCTTATGTATAGACATGCTTTCTAAAAATATTCTCTCTGTTGATACATTACTTGTATTTGAACTGAGCAGATGTCTAAAGAGTCTATGAGGAATAGTAAATGGAACGTAGAGATTAGGCATCAGGAGATCTGGATTCTAATTAGCCTTTAGATTTGGGAAATTTCATTTCACTCTCTGGGATGTATTTTTTTTCCATTGAAATGGGTATGTTGGATATCATTATATTTGAGATCCATGTAGTTATAAAAAAAGAAAAAAGGTTAATAAAATGTACTCCCTCCCTCCCCTCCCCAGGTTAAAAAGATCAAATCAAAAAGTACACTGTGACCTGACAAGGGCTAGAAATATAAGATAAAGTCATTGATATTGAGTCAACAACCTGTGACCCCCAAGGATGATTTAGAGGTGTAGAGCTGGGTGACCCACGTCTGGTTTTGCACCCTTCCACCTCCTTCATCCGATCTACTTCGCTGCCTAACAGGTCTGCCCTCCCCTCAGGCATTGCCCTATCTCCCAAGTGCCTTAAGTGATAATCCTGGTGAGGATGGTCACCAGTTCAGTTATGATGATCCTATAATGATCCCATGATGATCCCAATACCCCTGGGGAATTTGCACTTTAAGGAAGGCTTTTAAAGACGCAAAAGAAACAACCTGTAATCACAGATGATAAGACTGAGCAAGGTGTTCCCCATTTCTAAGTGCAACAGGCGTGAGTGTGTGTGTATTGAGGGGACAGGGAGAGAAGGATGGATGAGCGGAGGAAAAGAGAGAATGTCACCATTTCCCTTCTCTGTGTGCTCCACTTCCCTCCTGGGTATCAAGGACCAGACAGTGGAATCAGAGCTGTTGGATCCTCTGAAAACAATGAACAGCGTCATTTTCC